CCCCCACCCTGGCTTGATTTTTAGGTGTGTGCCGTGCCCCAAAACTAGGGCTTATTTTGGGGATAGGGCTTATATTAGGCCCACCCCAAAAAAATCAAGCTAGGGCTTATTGTTGGTGTAGGCCTTACTTTCGGGAAAACACAATAATAGCCAGCCATCAGCACCTCAATCAACATCTAAAAAGCCACATGCAACAGGTATCGTACCACATACAGAATAGCCCAAAACACACACACTGCTAGAGAGAAGTTCCCTGAGGAAGGGAGTCCAAAAGCTCGGAAGACAAAACATCTGGCGCGGTGACCAACCCAGATTGGATCCTGCAACATTATCCTGGGGCATGTATATTCTCACCTTCATTTGTGAGATACCGGCCTCTACCCTTGCTCAGTGATACCAAGCTGTCCAGCAGGGTGGGGATGGAGAAATAGACTTAAATCGGTATTGTATTTTGTCATCTTCCCTGGCAGTGACTTTCAAGAAGATGTACCAGCAGAAACAGAAGGAGCTGCTCAAACAATATGAGAAACAAGAGAAGAAGCTCAAAGACCTGAAGGCCGGGGGGAAGTCGACGAAGCAGGCAGTAAGTGTCTAGCTGTGCTAAGGTAGAGGACTTGCTAACTGAAAAATGTTGTGCAATTATCGTTTTCTCTGGGCTTCCTCTTAGCTGAAGTGACTTGAAGCAGGATAGTTATGCTGAGTTAAATCCTCAGTTCTAGAAACTGCAGTATTTTTCTTCCTCGCATTCTCTGGATATCAAAACTATAATAAAAGTAGTCCTCATTTAGTGACAACAATTCGGACTGACAACTCTGCTGTTGAGGTCGTCACTAAATGAAGCTGTGTCCTTTTTGACCTTATTGCAACCTCTTGGGCTTTACAGACCCGCAGAGGTCGTAAATGTAGGATCGGTTATAAAAATTATTTATATTTCCATTACCTTCATATCTGCGAATGGTTACCACCTGAGGCAGTTGCTAACTGAGGACTATCGGCAATGGTTATAAAAAGCTCACCTTGAGTTTCTGGAGGTCCGGATTCTTCTTCCAGCAGGGCAGATGAGAGAAGATTGACTCATAAGTAAATCTGCCATTTTAGGTGGGCTTACTTGAAAACAAGCATCCTTGCTCTCACAGGAGCAGAATATACAAGCAAAGGAGTTCTTGGGGCGCTCTGAGCTTGCAGATGTTTGCTTGCAGATGTTATCTAATTAGGTAACATCGTCCCTACTTATCAGTGTTCTGACACCCTAGCTCAGGGGTCTGCAACCTTGACAACTTTAACACTTGTGGACTTCAGTTCCCAGAATTCCTCAGCCAGTGGGAGCTGAAGTCCACAAGTCTTAAAGTTGTCAAGGTTGCAGACCCCTGCCCTAGCTTAATTAATTAATGCAGCTATACTTTGTTTAATCTGGGATATATCCTGCAGCTCCTTCTGATTGTACAGGTAGTCCTCATGATCGGAATTAGCAACATGCCAGTTGTTAAACAGGTTGTCACATGACCAACCTGATTTTTTTTATTATTATTTTTTTTGCAATGGTCCTTAAGCGAACCACCACGATTTTCCTGCTTTAGTAGGGGGTTGAGCCAGAAGACCTCCAAGGTCCCGTCCAACTCCTGTTATTCCGTTAATTGTTACAACTTCAAAGTTTCTTTTCTCCTACAGTTTCCGACCGTTAAGCAAATCGTTACAAAAACCCATTGGGCATTTTGCGAGAAATACCGATTTCCGTTTTTAAAAAAGTCATAAATTGTGGGTCACGTGACTGGAAACCCTCAAACGATTTGGAAACGAAGGCTAGTTGCGGAGTGTCCAGCATGTGATCTCATGACTGCAGAGAGGGGGACCTGATCAGAAGTTTTGGGTCATAAGTACCTTTGGGAGGGGGCATCATTAACTTCAAAGGGTTGGTAAGGAACTGGTCATAAGTCAAGGACTACCTGTAGGCCATCCATGTTTCTTCCTGTTGGAGACTGGCAAATCTGAGATCATCCATGAGAAGAGCCGATTCCAACTCTTGTCAGAAATCCTGAGTCCTGCCCATTTGGGGGCCGTCAGAATCCCTGCCGTGGTTCTCGGCACTAAAGAAAGAAAAATATATCTTTCCTTTTGAAAAATATGTTCCTGTGCCCATCTGTCTCCCTTCCGTGCCCCAAAGACAGAGGTAGGCAACCTTGGCTCTTTTATGACTCGTGGACTTCAACTCCCAGAATTCCTGAGCCCGCATGGCTCAGCTTGGAAACCTCTCCCTTTCCCCTCAGCATGGCTGGCTCAGGGATTCTGGGAATTGAAGTCCACGAGTCATGAAAGAGCCAAGGTGGCCTACCCCTGCGCCAAAGAAAAGAAGGGCAGCCTGTTCCTCTCGTGACCCGTCTTGCTTTGACGCAGGAAAAGCAGACCAAGGAAGCCCTGACGCGGAAGCAGCAGAAATGTCGCAAGAAGAACCCGGATGAGGAATCCAGCGAGGCCCCCGAGCTCCTGAAACGGCCCAAGGAATACACCGTGAAATTCACTTTTCCTAACCCACCGCCTCTTTCCCCGCCCATTCTGGGCCTCCACGGTAGGGCTTCTCTTTTTGAAGGGCAGATTGTAAGGAAGGGGGTGCAGGGGAAGGATTGGGAGCTTGCAGAGGAGTGAGTGATTTTCTGGGGGGGGGGGGACAAAAAAAAAGCATCCCTTATCAACAGGTCTGAACTTTATTTCCTCCCCCTTCAAGCATTAGAGGAGAGGGAGGGAAGCTGAATGTCTGGCTGTTGCTAAACTACAACTCCCAGTGTCCCTTGCTCTGACTAGGCTGGCTGAGGCATCAGCAGGAGAGGGATGCTTGACTTCTTGTGGGTTGAGCCCTTATATCAGGCAGCCATGTGACTTAGGTTAAGTTTCTGCTGATCCCAGATGGCCAGGACAGGATTTTGCCCACGGATTGCTAATGGATGGAGAAATAATTGAGATTTATGCCATCACTTACCTTCCCTGATGCTAGAAAACTGGCACAATAACAGAGTGTCTGTGTGTGCCAAGGAGTCTATCAATAGGATGAGCATGCAGTTAGTTCCCGACTTATAATTGTAATGGAGCCTGCTCATTACAGTCGCACGTCATGACAGTTATAAAGTGGATCGCCCCATGTGACTGTCCTGATTTTACGACATTTTTTTATGATAGCCATTAAGCAGACACTGCATTAAGCAAATTCATTGCATGCCATGGAGATTTTTGCCGAAAACCGGAAGTATCTACCAGTTTTCAACAAAAATGTTGTAAATAGCAGTCACGTGACTGTTGGCCACAGCAAACAGCCGTAAATGCAAGCCAGTTACCAAGCATCTGAAAAGTGGTCACATGACTTGGGTGGGTGGCTGTTGGAACTTCAGAACCCGGTTGTAAATATCTTTTTTGTGGGGGGTATGTTATCACTTTGGTTATAAATTGAGGACTACCTATAGCAGGGCTTTTCAACCAGTGGTACGGGTACCACCTGTGGTACATTGGCACCTGACAGGTGGTACACGACCATCCTAGAAAAGTGATAGCGGGGGAGGGGAATGAGCTGAGCCGATGGCAGCACCGCACAAGCCTGAGCGAGAGATGGCTGGAGCTGCAGGGCTGTCAGGGCTCAGCGGAAGCACCAGGATCAGTGCCACTTTCCAGCTGATCGGCGCTTCTTTGGGGCTGTCAGGGCTCAGTGGAAGTGCCAGGATCAGCGACAGGCTCCAGCTGGAGCTCAGCGCTGATCCTGGCACTTCTGTTGAGCCCTGAAGAAGCACCAATCAGCTGGAATGTTGCAGCATCTCCAGGGTCTTGTGATTTACATTCAGATGCTTGGCAACTGATTCATATTTATGATGGTCACAGTGTCCCAGGGTCATGTGAACTGACCAAAACCTGCTGCAACCACCCAGCAGACGGGGGAATAAAAACCAAACACCCCCACCACCACACCCCCGCTGCCAATCCTCAACATAAATGCTCACAACAATGGAAACCTCAGACAGGAGGAAGAGCACCGCTGGGTGGGCAGGCAGGTGTCTTGCTCGGCTGTAGCTTGGGGGGGCACTTTTTCAGTGCCATTGTAATTTCGAACAGTCACTAAGCAAACTGTTGTAAGTCGAGGACTACCTGTACTTTATCATTTTTTTCCTTTTTTTTTTTTTATCAAGTTTTTGACACCTTTGACTGGTGGTACTTGGATGTTGCCATATCCTAAAAGTGGTACCATGGGTGAAAAGGTTGAAAAGCCCTGACATATAGGAATTAATGGGATGAGAGATCAGGTGTCAGGGACACTGTAGGATAGCAGTCCGGTAATCTCCTGGTTTGGGATTCCTAAGGATTTCTTTTTATGTTGCCTTCCTATCACGCTTGCAGCTAGTAACCCTTGCCCAGAGGGAGAAGCTGCCTTCATAATGGCACACTGCATGCCAGGGGGATTTTCCCGAAAAAAGCTGGCAGCATCTTCAACAGAGAATGGCAAGCTTTGCTGTCCTTTTAAGTACATAGGTTACTGATTTCTGTAAGTTTTTATTATCTGCTAGGGATCGGTTTCCCGGAGCAGCTGGTATACAATCAGTGGGTCAGTTCAAAGCCAAGCATAATCCCTTTCATTGAGATTGTCAGTCCAGCACTCAAGATCAAGATGGGGCAGGGATGGATGAGCTAAAAAAAACCCAACAACCTCAGCTCCAAATTCTTAATGTTCAGTCCAAGCTCTGCTATTCTAACCAGCTGGGCTAAGAACTGATTTTTTTCAGTCTGGGTGTTACTTGCTGTTGTTCTATCTAAACCTTACTTTCATGTTCTTGAGAAAACATTTTTTTTTCCTTTGGATCCTTATCTTCCTGCTTCTCTTTTAGCTGTGGACTTCAGTTACGAAAAGCAGAAGCCCCTTTTCAGAACTTTGGACTTTGGAATCGACATGGAATCCCGAAGTAAGTGATGTGGAAGGAGCGAAGGGAAGGTTTTCGTGCTGTCAGACTTCTGCATATGGGTATAATTTGTGTTTCTTTGTTTTCTAAGAGGGGGGAAATTGTTCTGTCCCAGCCCACGTGAGTCATTGTTAACTCACAAGGACAAACCCCTCTTTTAACAAGTAGGCTGGAAATGCAGGGAAAACAAACCCTGTTTATTAGTTAGGTACAGACCTGCAAAATGTCCCAAAAGCAAAGGCAAACAAAACACGATGCAAATGGAGAGTTGTTCACAAGCAAGGCAACAAAACAGGATTCCATGAAACGTGAGTCCTTTGCAAACGGTTGCCTTCAGCAACCAGCACCTCCCACACCTTCCCTTTTTATTATGCAGCCCCCAGGCGTGGCTTCTCAATGCCTTCTCCTCCTCCCTTGGAGTCGCCCCATTGCCTCCCTCTGTCCTGCTCTTGTTGCCTATCTGCATTTGCAAGCGTCTATGATGTCTTCCAGCTGTGAGTCCTCAGAGTCTGACTCAGCTTCCCCGCACAGCTGAATCTCAGCCTGAGCACGATTGGAAGGGCCAGGCTCTTCATCAGATTGTAAGTCCTGGAGGCTCATCAGAGCCTTCCTCCGACTCTCTAATGGCTCTCCAGGCTCCTCCTCCTCTGATTCCCCAGACTCAGCTGCCGGGTCCAGTGGCTGGCACAGACTCACAACGAAAATCCTCATCAGGACCTTCTCTATTTAATAATTTAAAAGTACTGCAGCTGGGAAAAGTCACTTCTGGCTCCAGCTTTTCATTTAATTTCCTTTACAGGTGTTCCTCGACTTACTACCACCATTGAGCCCAAAATTTCTGTGGCTAAGCAAGGCAGTTGTTTAGTGAGTTTTGCCGTTTTGCCCCCATTTTTACAACCTTTCTTGCCTTTGTTTTTAAGTTAGTAGGACGGTGGTTAAGTGAATCTGGCTTCCCCATTGACTTTGCTGGTCAGAAGGTTACCAAAGGCTACAAAACATGATGCTGGGACAGTGTTACTGTCATAAATACATGCCAATGCCAAGCACCCGAATTTTGATCACGTGAACTTGGGGATGTTTCGATGGTTGTAATTGTGAGAAAAGAGGCATCAGTCACTTCTTTTCAGTGTCGTTATAACTTCAAACGGTCACTAAACAAATGGTTGTTAAGTCGAGGACTGCCTGTATTGAAAGATGGCAGGGGGAAAAAATGTCAGATTCCTAAAAACTTTGTCTGCCTGGCGCCATCTTGTTACTAATGATAATCCCTTCTCTCTTTTTCCTGCCTCTCAGTCTGTATCGTGGGCCCCAATGGGGTGGGGAAAAGTACACTACTATTGCTGTTAACTGGGAAGCTTACGCCGGTAAGTACCACCTGTTCAAACTTTGGCTTCTCTTGGTGTGGATTGTCCTTGCCTGAGATTTCCTTGACTGTGTTTTGGGCCCCTTTTGATCGAGCCCCAATTGAGTGCAGGTGATTATTGGGGGGAGATGGTAGTGTGAATCCCATGAAAAATGACTTCCCTTTTAATCTGATGGGGATTGCGAACCAAGACAATGCTAACTTCCTATTTTTCTCTTTCTCTTTCTCTTTCCAGACCAGAGGAGAAATGAGAAAAAACCACAGGCTAGTAAGTATCGATGTGATTTCAGTTGGGATGTGGTGGGAGGGCAGTGTATAATTTGAGGGGGAGCCATATTGGACTGGAAAGCAGGGCTAGCAGTCAGGATAGGTAGGAAGTCTTTGGTCATAGGACGTGGTACACACATAGGCAGTTGTTGCTTTGTGTTGGTGTACTCTGCTTGGAGAGGGAGTGTCATGCCTCCATCTGAGGACGACATGGAGTTCCCTGTTGAGGCCCAGGAGGGGATGTCTGTGGCTTCGGAGGACTGTGGGGAGGAACAGGCTGAAGCAGGCCAGGGCCCTTCAAGTTTGGAACAGGGAAGGCAGAGCTCAGGCGAGGAGCAAGGCCCCTCCCCACCAGATCCCAGAGCAAGGAGAGCAGAGAGGAGGAGGGAACAACGGAGGCAGGCTCACTTGCTCTGGAGGAGAGCGTCACGCCCCACTCCACAAGGCACACCTGGGGAGTAGGTACTTAAGGAGACGCTGTGGGGTGGGGCATTTGCCAGGAACAAACGTGAACTCTTGTGATGTGAACTCTTGTACCTGGACTCTTTGTATTTTGGATCAAGTTTGTTTCCTGCTGAGTTCTCCTTGCTGTCCTCAGGTTTGCAGTTTGCAGGTTACAGGCAAGCTGGGCGTTGAAAAAATCATACTTTGTTTGTTATCTGTTTTACTTTAAAGAACTGTTTCACTCCGTTGACTGTTTTATTGAACTTGTGCCAGCCTATGTGGGGGCTGTTGGGTGAACGTTGGCAGTGCTTACAAAGACAATTATTCTGACCAGCTAATTGCTTTGCCTCCGTTCGGGGCCCTGGGTCATCACGGGGTGGTTTGATTGAAGGATATCCAATATACCTTTTGGCCTTTCACATATTAGTGTGTCTGCATGCAGCCTGCTTATTCATATCCTCAACTTGGCGGTTGAGGCTTAGAGTAAAACATCCTCCCAGAATTTGGAGACTGTGATTTCAGGACAGCACCATGTCCTAAATTAGAATTAGGCAACCTGGTTATTTCTTATCCGATGTTTTAGATTGCATCTTAACAACATCCCAGCCAACATGAGCCAGTGGGCGAAGGGCTTACGGAAGTTCTAGCCCAGGAAATTAGGAAGGTTTCAGAAACAGGAGAAGGCACCCTGAAATGCCAGCTGTGGCCTTGGGAGGTGTGAAACGGTGTGAGTTAAGCTTGAGTGCCCGCTTGAGTGAGGTTTCACCCAATTTTCCCCTTATTCTCCTGATAGAAAGTTGGCTTCTTCAACCAACAGTATGCCGATCAGCTGAATATGCAGGAGACGGCCACGGAATATCTTCAGCGCAATTTCAACCTGCCTTATCAAGACGCCCGCAAATGTTTGGGGCGGTTTGGTCTCGAGAGCCATGCCCACACCATCCAGATTTGCAAGCTGTCTGGTAGGGGGAGCTTTTCTTGGGAGATGGGAAGGGGGAATGATGGTGGGTCGAGAGCTTTGCAAGAAAAGGCGGGGGCTGCTAGCATAGCTTTCTCTACCTTGGCATGTATGTTCCAAATGTGTTGGATAATGAAAGTTGTAGCTAAATCACGCCTGAGTGTTGGAGCTTTAGTGAGGAACAGTCCATCTGTGTCTTGAGCAAAGACACAGGCTGGAAAAATGGGTCAACACTGACAGCCTTCAAAGAGGAATCGGGTTCTTGCGAAGCTCAGAAGTTCCGATCCCGATGCCCTGTTTATCCTTCCAGATGTCCTTTCAAATTCTGATAGCGAGATTCTACAGGTGATACTCGAAAAATTAGAATATCGTGCAAAAGTTCATTTATTTCAGTAATGCAACTTAAACAGTGAACCTAATATATGAGATAGATTCATTACATGCAAAGCAAGATAGTAATGAGTCTCTCTCATATATTAGATTCACCTTTTAAGTTGCATTACTGAAATAAATGAACTTTTGCACGATATTCTAATTTTTCGAGTTTCACCTGTATTTGCATCAGTTTGGGGGAAGCAAGCATGTTTTTGCTAATCTTCTAATTCCTTCTTTCTCTCCTTTGTTGTTTTTTTTCCCCATTACCAGGGGGACAAAAAGCTCGTGTAGTATTTGCCGAACTGGCTTGTAGAGAGCCAGATGTCCTTATTCTGGTGAGTTTATCTACAATCATCTATATTGAAGTCTGTAGTATTCTCCCCCAGCAAACCCAAATCCTCCCCTTGTCTCCTTCTGCAGTAGTATGTTTCGTAAGGTACCCAGCACCATTATCCCCTTGTGAAAGCTGAAGAGAAGACAAGAGTCCTTAAATGTCTCTTCATTTCTTTTCCCCCCAGGATGAACCTACGAACAACCTGGATATTGAATCGATCGATGCCTTGGGAGATGCTATCAATGACTACAAAGGGGGTGAGTGAAAACTTGTTGGCCCTGAAATTCCTATGGTGATAATATAAGACCCATCATGCCCATCTCTGCTTGCCGTTCTTACCACTATGCTGTCCTTACAAATTTGAAGTAGAAGGGACCAGGCATTCCTAAAGTGACATTGGGTTCGTTCTATCCTGCCCCATATTTTACTTTTGTTATTGTGAATCAACTTGGCTCTATCCCAGGGGTCTTCAAACTTGCCCCTTTTATGACTTGTGGACTTCAATTGCTGGCTGAAGAATTCTGGGAGTTGAAAGTCCTCAAGTCATAAAAGGGGCAAGTTTGAAGACCCCCTGCTCTATCCTATCGCTTGGCAGGAAGGGAAAGGCTGAAAATCAAGGGCACCCTCTTAATACCTAAGAACGATCAGTTTCCGATCAAGTCACTATGAATGCCAGAAGTAATAAATTTGTTGATTAACTGAATAATTTGTACATAGCACAATTGAAGCAGCAGGGCACAGCCACACTGGGCTTTGCTGCAGATCTGGAAGGCAGCATCCCCAAACTCCACGTTTTCAAGGATTTTGAGGATTCTTAATGATTCCTCAAGCTACCGTGAGGGTTAAAGTACTTTACGTTAATCTTTCATTTCCCCCAAACCCCCAGGAAAAAAAAAAGTAAAGGTAAGCCAGATTTTTAGGCTTGCTCCTTCTGGTGGTCACCAAAGAAATGTTGACGGGCTGCTTTTTTTTTTCTTTTTTTTTGCACCCTGTACCTATTTGCTATCTTAAGAAATAATTTAAATGATTAGATAAGTTTGGGGGAACTTATTTGGGAGAAAAAGACATCACCAGTTTGCCTGCCTCTCTGCTTTAGTAACTGGAATTGCGCTTGGGAGATAGTTGGCTCACACTCCGCTCCGGATGGCATTCTCTGCCCAGCTCTCAAGTGCATCCAAAATAAATAAATAAATACTTTATTGTCATTGTATGTGTGTACATAGTATACATATACAACGAAATTTACTTGACACCCCAAAACCAAGTCCCACAAACATAATCCCCAACATACTCCCCCCACCACAATCCCCACCCCTAGAGCCCCCCCAACATCCACACAACAGACCAAGTAATACTGTCCAACAGTTCACTGATGGTGGCCCTTTAGTTCGTTGTTGAGTGCAATTACAGCTCTGGGATAAAAACTATTCAGAAAACGTGTGGTCCGAGTTTTAATTATTCTATATCTTCTGCCAGAAGGCAACAGTCCAAGGAAGGTGGTGTTTTTTTATTTTTTATGGTAGCTTAAGGTCTTGCTAACCCTTCTGTCTTTTCCAGCGGTGATCATTGTCAGCCATGACGCTCGGCTTATCACAGAGACCAACTGCCACCTGTGGGTGGTGGAGGACCGGACAGTCAATCAGATTGACGGTGACTTTGAAGACTACAAGCGTGAAGTGCTGGAAGCCTTGGGTGAAGTCCTGGTCAATCGACCAAAAGAATAAGGTCATGAGAAGCGGAGTCACCAGAACATGCGCAGCCTCTTTCCATTTTTCCAGAGGAAACTCCGCCCTCTCAAGTAGCCGGGCTTTATTTATGTGACACGGAGGGACAGATTTGAACATGTGCAAGAAAGAAATTAAAAACTGTTGATACTTTTAACTTTTCTTCCCTTCCTCTCCCAACCAGCATGGAAGTAAACTTACCAAAAGGTGATGGGTGGGTGTTCCACCATGCCTTTCTCCCTCCCCCCTCCCCAAGCAGACATTTTGGAAGACTACTTTCACTTTACAAATCTCTCTCTCCTTTCCTTGCACTATTTTTCGGAATAGTTGGAGCACAACATGTAAACTTACTAAATTAAAAATGCGGCCGTCACTCTTGTGGATGGGAGTTTTCTGATTTCTTACATTTTGAACAATACAGATAGTCCTCAACTTAACCACAATTGAGTCCAAATTTTTGTTGCTAAGCAAGTGAGTTTTCCCCATTTTATGATCTTTCTCGCCACAGTTGTTAAGTGAATTGCTGCAATTGGTAAATTAGTAACACAAGTGTTACTGCGCTGAATCTGGCTTCCCCATTGACTTTGCTTGTCAAAAGGTTGCAAAAGGAGATCACATGACCCCGGGACACTGCAACCGTCATAAATATGAGTCGGTTGCCAAGTGTCTTGATTTTGGTCACATGACCACAGGGATGTCCTAACGGTCATAAGTGTAAAAAAAAAATGGCCATAAGTCCTTTTTTCAGTACTGTTGCAACTTTGAATGGTCACTAAATGAATTGTTATAAGTCAAGGACTACCTATCGTTGCCTAAAAAAGCCGGTTGTTTGCCTGTAAGTGTGACTCTTCAAGTTGCACTTTTTGGTGTGTATTGTGGAGAAAGCAATCAAAGCCCACAATATTCAGTACTCTACTCCAAGGGATGCTTTTTCCTTCAGTTGGGAGAAATTCTGAGAAGACAGTGAAAATGTATTGTCTATAGAAGGGGTCCCCAACCCCCGGGCTGTGGACCAGTACGGGGCCGCGGCATGCCAGCAACTGGTCTGCACAAACAAGCAAAGCCCCATCCGTGGAATGCAGGCAGCACACAAAACCACACACCCTCTGGTCCACGGAAAAACCTCTCTCCACAGAACCAGTCCCTGGTGCCCAAAAGGTTGGGGATCTCTGGTCTATAGAGGTTGCAATTGTCACTTCTGCAGCTTTTGAAGAAGATAGGACAGTGATGGCAAACCTTTTAGAGACCGAGTGCCCAAACTGCAACCCAAAACTCACTTATGCATCGTCGGGTGCCGGGTGGGTATGGCCCATTGGGTGGGCGTGGTCCATTGGGTGGGCGTGGCTGCAGTGGTAATGGCAGACTGGGTGGGACTAAAAAGTTCAATCAATTCCAACCTTGCGAGATATTTTTTTTCCCCGCGAGAAGTTGAAATTGACTGATTGAACCTTTTTTTTTTTTTTGCACACGGTGGCGGAGGCCTAAAGCAAAAAGGTTTTATAAAACCCAGCTGAAGGCCTATGACTGGGGCGACGGCGCGCGTGCCCACAGAGAAGGCTCTGAGTGCTGCCTCTGGCACCCGTGCCATAGGTTCGCCACCACTGAGATAGGACAACAGCCACCTCTCAAGAATTGTTTAATGCACTTTCCTGTGGATTGCCAAAGGTTGGATTAAATCTGGGCTGTCAAACTGGTGGCCATGCCCACCTGGCTTCACAAAGGCAAAAAAAAGTCACAATAGGTCATGTGATGCAATCGAGTTTGACACCCGTGCATTAAATGATCCTTGTGGTCCCTTCCAGCTCCATGATTCTATTGTTCTATGAGGCCACTATATGGAAGCAAGACCAGTGGGAAAGAAAATGATCATAGCAATCTTTTCAGCTCTCCCCTTATCCCGAGAGACTCCTAACCTGGCAGTAATCTAAGTTCCAAAGGATAGGCGGTCCCTTCATTTTGGGTCTGTTTTAGAACTCTCATTGTTCCTCCTTATTGGCTAAGCTGCCTTCGGTTAAATAAGCGCTGGAGATCAAACATGTGAAGGGAATCTCAGTGAACAGTGCAGAATGGATGGAAAGAGAAAATGTAGTGGGCTGCTTATAGCCATATTTGAATTGGGAACCTTAAGTGGGTATGTCTTTTCAAGCTACACCAGGGGTCTTCAAACCTGGCCCTTTTATGACTTGTGAACTTCAACTCCCAGAATTCCTCTGGCTGAGGAATTCTGGGAGTAGTTCACAAGCCATAAAAGGGCCAAGTTTGAAGACCCCTGAGCTACACACTCATCCTGAATCTTGCAGAAGGTTAGACAGGTGCACTCGCTTTGTGCATCAACACTCATATTATTTACCGATTTTCAGTTTCACCTCTCTGACCTTCAATATTTATGTCTTTCCAATCCCATGGATCAACAGAGTTTGACCCAAGGCATTTCATAAGTTTTTTGTCCTACTCCATTAGGGCCACACTACCCAGTTTCCCCATAGTCATCCTCAAAATGCTTCCCAGATAGCAATAGGAAATAATCTGGGAGGTGTTTTGTTTTTGTTTTGTTTTGTTTACACCTAAGGCAGAAATGCTTCTTAGGAATGTTTTTTTTCACTTGCAATTTGATTTGATCTTAAAAACAAGACTTACAAATCCCAGAGAAATTCAAACAATTTCTTTTTTTTAAAAAAGTTTTATTGATTTTCTAATTTTACATTTAAGTATTCAAAACGCAATGTGGCAGCTGGGCCACTCAATAATACAATAACATACAAATATCTTCAGTACAAATCTCAAGCTACTACATCAAATTTTCCCTCTTTTTTCCCCTCAGTATTCACTGTCTCCTGTCTAAACTAATGCAATTCTTATTAAATCAATTAAATAAAAATGACATTCTTACATTTATCAATAATTTTTGGCTTATACATATCCTTATTTTAACATTTAGTCTTTATAGACAATCAATGTCCTAATTAATTTTCCCCAATTTTTAATTTCCCGTTAATGTTTAACATTTAATATTTATAATTCCCAAGTTTTAAGTAATCAAAGTTCCCATTATCACAATTCATCACAAAATCTAATATTCAGAATACATATCTATTTGGATATAATCTATTTCTCACCATCTTACATAAACTAATTGATAATACAGTATAACATTTTTATTTTCTATTCTAAACATCTTAAATTTAATAACCAAATTTTCTCTTATTTCAACAACAAATATTTCCTCTCTTTTTCTCTTAATATCTATCTCATATTTGAGCTAATACAGTTTTTATTATTTCAACTAAGTAAAAACATGTTTATTACATTTATCAATATATTTTAGCTTATATATATCTTAATTAGCTTTAACATTCAATCTTTATAAACCAATCAATATTCAAATTTAACTTTTAATATTTATACTTCCAAATTTTCTTCAGCCTTATTCTAGCTTTTTTTCCTTTGCCAATTCGCCTTCCATATCTGTGCTTTTAAATCATCATATAAATCTTCCTCTATTATTATGCATATTGCTTGAAGTAAGAAAGGCCATCCGATCACCATTTTTTTAAAGGGGATAACAAATCGTCTCTCTATTTTTCTCTCTCGGCGTAGTTGTCCTGAAATGTTTATCTTCCGTTTGGTCTGTTCTTCTTGATCCTCAGGTTTCTTCTGGTTTATATGAAAAGTCTTTTCCATTTTCAAAGTTGTCAATCCCTTTTCTGAGTTTTCCATTAACTGTGTTTGTTGGTCAGTTGAATCTTCTATCATAATATTTAATTGCTCCACTTCTATTATATTCTGTGTAGTTAATTATTTGGTTGTAATCAAGGTTTGGGTTCGTATCTCTAGGCTGATATCTTGTTCTTTTCTGTAGCCTCTTATTTCATCAGTGGCTTTAAGAATAGTTTCATGAATTGCTTTCAGCATAAATAAAATCTGTTCCTGATCTTCATCCATGTTTTCTTAATGGTGTGAATTAAAAGCTTTACAATCAGAGAGTAAAACTAATTTTATCATTGAGTATAGAAGACAGCTGGGCTTCTCACAGCTGATTGCCAAGGTTACAAAAGTCTTATCTATAGTCTGGGCTTCAAGCCAAATCTTTTCTAGACAGTAACAGATTGCAATATCAGGTTTAGCCACAAGATGACGCCCATACCATTTAGGATTTTTTTTTTAAGTCCAAGATTTTTATAGTCCTTTTCCCAATTTTTCTTCTTTTTTGTAAATAAAAACCTAAATCTTCAATAAGGATAGAAAATTTTTTAATCTTCAATTTTTGGAAAGATAAAAGTCCAGTTAAAATCAGGTTATTGTTTCAAAATTTTAAACTCCCCTGGATAGTCAGTCGCCGCTGTTTTTAGAGGGTGGGATAAAGTTTCCCTTCCCTCTCTCCACAGGGGGGGAAATACCTTGGGCAGCTTATACAGGTAAAAAAATAGTTCGGATTAAAGAGAGGTTCAGATCTCACCCAGTCTCATCCGCGCTGCTTTATAGGTGCCTGGTAGTAAGTTTGACTTCGGCTGTCTGCAGTCTAGTGACCAGTCATATTGCTACGGCCGGTCTTTTGTCCACCAGTTTGGAGGGCTGCGCTGGATCAAACGGAAGGGCTACCGCCCTCCCATAATCAAGTGGGAATCCCCTCCTTGCTAGTTGTCCCTACAGGGCGACTTTCAACCCTTTCCAGGGTCCCCCAATGATACGAAATCGGACGTGAATGATGGAGCTTACTTTCCAAATGTCTGTGGCAGCCGCGGCGGCAAACCGGAAGTCCAAAATTCAAACAATTTCTTAAGTAGTCTCCTGTTTTGATCCACATAGCAGTGAGCTTGGGCCAAATGCATTTTCCCCAAAGAAAATAGGTTTCAAAAATTATATTTTTGATGAGATAAAACTCTTTTTCCAAGTGGTAGGCCATAGGCAAAAGTCAATAGTGTATTAAGTCTTTAGCATTTGAATCAAAATCTGTTCAGATGACCTGCCATTACCAATAACGTGGAGAAAATACATGACTGTATTTGCACTCTATTCATAGATAAAATGCTTTATGTATGTGGACCAGTCAGAGAATGGATGTTTTTGAGTAGTTGTAGGAGAGGAAAATATTTACAGCAAGAGGTCTTTGAAATTCCAATATCCAAGTTGTTTTCCTCCATTTTCTCTTTATTAAATTGTACATACTGAATTCATCCTCCAACGTTATACAAATATTAACATTGTTACCATTAGAATTACAAGAAAACAATATATAATACATAACATAAAGTAAAATTAAACAGGTATCTTGGTTTTTGTAGTGTCAACAAAATTTTCCCAGGTTATTTAAAATTTCCTTCCTTGCTATAGGATTGTTGACAGAGCAATACATAGTAAGTAGCAAATTGGATGGATTTAGC